GGGTCAATGCGCCAAATTTAGAATAATATTTCAAATTTATATTATTTCGTTACATTATAAGAATACATATTGCTAGGTAGAAAAAATAGTAATTGTTGTTTCTAGAATAATAAAACCAATATTTGTCTTATATAGAATAGAATGATGCATCATGAATGCCACATACAATAATATATTCATTTCACGACTAATTTTTGTCTTCATTTTAAAAAAATTTAAATGATGAAATATGCGAAAAATCTATACTTTTATCATTTGAATTAGATTCTAATTATTGTTAAATTTTTATAAAGATAAAGACAACTTTTTAGCCCCCAAAAAACCTTGGCACGACACTATCGTTCAATCTCTGAGTTGCAAACGCAGCAAATCTGCATAAACAAAACAAGAACATCTAAAATATAATATTTAACTGTATTTATTATTTTAGGTACCCTTCAATACATAATATAATATTTATAAATTACTTAAATTATATTTATTTATGTTCATACCTTGTTTTGTTCCAACCATAGTGAAATGCATTCCTTATGATAGATATGAGCACATGGCAAAGTCGATAGCGTATTTCCCTTGACGAATTCGAGAAGACATATCGAACACCTTCAATATCCCCAAAACCAATACAAACCAATTTAGAATCCCCACTTAAACCGGATCTTAAAACTTGTGGTTTGATATGAGTTGTAAAAAATCAAATATATAAACGTTTCGTTACTTATTTATAGAACATAGTATTAAAGAATGACGACATGCATAGATGATTTATGTTCTTACTGAGTATTTTCGGAAGCATGGTTTTTCTTTTTAAACCATGAGGTCTCCCCGTACTTATGAGTTGGTATTTGACTGATTCTTGTCTTCGACAATCCTTTGCTGACATTTCCGATCGACTCTCCTAATTCATTCAGTTCCTAAATCATCCAAACCAGAGGAATGACATACAAGTTCTTTTACTAGATCACGCCTTTTTAATTGTTATTGTGTGAATACCTCATAAGTCATATTCTCAGGTTCAATATCAACATTAGGAGGAAGAGACTGAAAGTTTTGTTGATGTGGGGAACTATTACGGTGAAGGGAGGTTGAACTGCTCGCTGCAGATAAAAAGTGAAACATATTATAATATATTTCAACATTACTTTACAATTTAGAATTTTATACTGTGGAATATGATTCAACTTGAACCATATACAATAATGTTGAGGATTTTACGTTTATTACCTTCTAGATCCTGGAATTTACGGGTAATTTGGTTAACATCGTCCGTCAAAGCAAGATGATTCGCCATATCTTGGGATATGGATAGATTTTAGGCATGCAAAATAAATTAACCAAAAACCCCATAGAATTATTATACAATATTTCCAACTGAGATATGAGAATTGAATTCGTCAAATAAAAACATATATGAAAAATTAATAATATATACACTTTCTTCTTCTTGTAACAAGTTAGCATACTTTTCATCATCGCTTACAGAGATTTGAGGATAATCTACATTTAACAAATTTTTGTATAATGAATTATATATATTGCCTCTTTGGGTGTTTCCTCTTAGGTATACAATACATGTTGATAAATTTACATAGTATGGCCTACGTAGTTTGTTAGCAATATCACTCTAAATTTACAGTTATTGATTGTATATTCAAGTAACAAATTAATATTTGAATTTTATAGTATATTTGGGTCAGACTAAATTAAAGTAAGAAAAAACGTTTTGAGAAAATATGTTCTCTTCATTATATTTAGAAGCTTAACAAAATTACCTTCCATAGCTTGCCATTCTTTTGCTAGCTCTCCATCAGCAATTAAGGAAATCTTACGAGCTTCTTTGTAACAGAAAAAAAAATGATTGTAACTAATCGTCAAGCTTGAGAAAAAAAACTAATCGTCAATCAAATTTGATGTTATATATAACAAGTTAACCGCTATTTTAAGGAGGGATGTTTCCAGTTCGATCAATGATTTGTTACAGTCATTACTAAACGAGTGGTAGTGTAATGGTCTTTACAGTGATTCAACTCTAATTGGGAAAAATGATTTATACTTTTAACATGGTATTGTGAACGTGACCTTATGAACCGATAGAGATTATGGACAAATGGTCTGGAACTTCCACCGTTTATACAAAAAAAATTGTTACAACCTTACCTTCTTCCTGTTGTTGAAATTGCCGAGCAATAATTGCATCATCAATTGTTTGATCGTACAGCAGAGACGCCGCCAACGCTTCATCGATATTCACCTGATTCGAGTGAATCTTATGTGACATTCTTGTTAAGGCGAGTCTCTTAGTGCAAAAGAGGACCTAAGAAACAGTCGTCAAAGATTGATTTATGTTTTCTCAAAAGGATTCAGACCGTAAAATTTCTCATCACACGGCCACTTTATATATGAAATCTTTTTGAGAGATATTTTTGGTAATTATTGACATTGATGAGAAATTACCACTCTTTTCCGTTAGATCAATAAAAGAGGTTATCAAGGGAGCGTTTGATGCATGTAATCTCCATTAATTTCAATAATATTTTGGATTGGTGCACGTATGCGTGAGAGGATTATTCACAAAAAAAAAGATATAAAATCGATATTTGGTCTCTTAAAAAGACAACTAATATAAAACATTTTTTGTTGTCATCTTTTATCGCCTTACAATAACTGTTTTTTTTTTAGAAAGCCTTCGATTATTAGTTAACCATTTTTTATAACGTGAACCGATATCCAAATTAACTAGCAGAATGCATCTATGTTGTTTTTGTTTTCTCTTTTTTTTTTGTTAAAGATTTTTTTTGTTTTCTCTGTTTAATATTACACTAGATTTTGATATATAAGTGTATAAAGTACATAGAAAACATAGATGCACCAAAAATATATAATTATTAAATGAAATTGAGAAAGATCATATCGTGTATTATATACAAAAGACATTACCAAATTTTGTTGTACGTCACTGTCGTTAGTTTTAAAGTAAATCAAATACATATTGTTTTATGGGGTGTGTTATATGTAAAACAAATCGATAATTACATATTTACATACATTTAACAACATTCAAAGCTGTTTTGAGATATTGCTTATTTATAAATATTTCATGGACAATTGTAAAAATGCTATTTTTGAAATATTATTTTGTAAAAAATGTTATCATGAGTTGTCCATTTTCAAAAATACC